AGGAAAATTCCCCAGAAGGATGTTTGGCTATGAAAGAATACAACCCCAATAACACATATGGTTGATGTACTTCACAAGTAATACAAAAGAATTCATAGGGGAAAATGTTGAATGTTTCGCTCCAACATTCGGACCCTCAGTTCTTCCCACAAGCCACTGCTACTGATGATTTTTCAGTCCTTCCAGACATGTCTTTGAAAATGCACAGTGGAAACCTTTACCATACGTGCTACACTGACCTTGGGTGTTTTCTTAAACATTGCCCAAGACAAGTCTCTATGACAGGTGTATTGGCTCAGAAAGTTATGTTCAGAACCAGTGACTCAGCCACATGAAATTAAAGCCAACCTTGAGCAGCCTGACACACAGAAGAGCCACTGTAGCCTGGCTTCTAGATCCTACCTAACCTAATGCTAGTAAGCTTGGCAACCTTCATTGCAATCAACTCAGTTGCCTGTGCCATTGTTACTAGAATCTCCTTTCCTCCTTGGACCGGCAGAGCACACTGGAAGAAATAATCAAAAGGCTGACCATGACTTTGGGGCTTGCAGGGGAAATTGGAAGTGCCTCCTGGAATTGTTAACTATTCTCTCTTGGCTGCTATAAAAACCTTACTCTGGTCATTAGCCCACCCTGGGTGTCCACCTCCAATCCTATTTCCTCAGTCCTCTTTGGAACTCCGTGGGGGAGGCCCCGGGTGTGTGCTCCTCCCCCCTCTCGCGTGCCTGGGCAGAGGCAGGAGGACATGGAAGAGGCCTAGGGCTGTGCCCCCAGACCTTGGACCCCACAGTGTTCTCCAGGAGAAGTCGGAGGAAACGCGTTTACCACCTGGTCGACCTTGACTGAAGCCGATTAAAGTTTAATCCGAGGTGTGTGCTCAGCCTTGCCATGTTATTTAAACACATCAAAGGTCATAAAAAGATTCCAATGGCGTGAGCCGGTCCCACGCGGGCCCGCAGGGAGTCAGCATTTGATTCTGGTTGATTTCCAGAGCCAGGATGTGGAGCGTGGGGCAAGGGCTGGGGCATAAGAAACAAAGGGGAAGATTTGCTTTCATAAGAAACCCCAGACTTCAAAAAGCAACAAGGGAAACCGAGTCTCTGACAACGGGATAGAGACAACGCCTTGCAATTCCAATTAACTGGGAAGACACCTAGTGGGAAGAGATCGCAACTGCAGCGGCTCCCTGCGAGCATCCCGGGCTCACCGCGGAGGCACTGCGGTGGGGTGGGGGTACGAAAAGAAGCCCCTTTCTCCCCATCGACACTTTCAACAGCCAAGTGCTTTCTCTGCTGCCTTAAAAACCCCAGGGCGGGCTGGTGAGATTGCTCAGTGGTCTAAAGCACCTACTTGGAACAAGCTTAGCAAATGCACAGGGACCGCGGTTCAATCCCCCAGCACCACATGCCAGCCAGCCCCGCTCCCAGTGGGCTGAGCTGGCCACACACACACACACACACACACACACACACACACACACACAAATAAAATAAATAAATTTTTTTTAAAAACCCAGGGCTGGGGCTGTACTCTGGACCAAGGCATCAATTCCACCTTGAGTGAACCTGTCTGACTTTGTTGGCTTTCCTGTTTTCCAAGTTGAGGTGCTGTTGGCTACCAACCACACGAATCAGGGGTCTCTAGATTCTAGTCCAACCCTCAGTTTTGGAGCAACCCTGTTTCTTGAATGCCCGTATATGGGTTCTTGTCAAGTGTTCTGAGGAACTCTGGGAATGGTGGATGAGACCATTCTAAGAAACCAATGGGTTGTAGCAGAAGCCAGGTGAAGCGAGAGGCCAGAATGTTTCTCCAACTGCAGCTTCCCAAACACTAGCACAGCTAGTGTTTTCACCACTATTTCTGTCATGAAGCCCTTGGGTCAGACCTTGTCCAGGGTGCCTCTCCCAGCCCATCTCTAGTGACCCCACAGAAACAAGGCCCACATTTGGAGGCCTGGGTCCTGTCATTGCTCTGCTTGCCCTAGCAAGCCCTAGTAGCAAAGTCTCCTAATCTTATGGCTGAAATAGCACTCTGTAAGTGCTTCCCCATGTGCTTGGAATTGTCTGATTTCACCGGCTCCAAGTGAGGATCCTCCTTCTGGGAGGACTTCTGGTCTCTGTTCTCCCATCTCTTGACACTTGTTGGCATCATATTATCCCAGAATAGTCAGGAAGAAGAGCAGTTTCAGGGTTTCTCTTTTCTGGATAGTACAGGCCAAGGAACACTGCTCCATATTTCAATCTATGAATTCTAGGACATCATGGAACCATGACTAGTCCTAAAGCAAAAGAACTGCAGCTTCTCTCAGATTTTTTGGGCTCTCACGGGGGTCAGGACTGCAAGGGACAGCAGGTGGCTACAAAGACCCACCCTGTGGAGGGCGCTCCTGTGATGTGCCAAGTCACAGGGACCCTGCCTGCCTAGGCCTGTAGGAAGAGGCTTCTTCTGTCCTCATTGTGCCCTTCAAGGTCCCCCTTTCACATCTACTTGTACTCCTCCACAGGGATTAGACTCTCCAATTCTTAAGGAAGGCTCAGGAAACCCTGCTTTGTGTTATCCTCATCCCTCTGCCCTCCAAAAAGCCTGACAGTAGTCAGAAATGGTAGATGAGTCCATTCTAGGCAAAATGCCCTGAAGCTCTTCAGAGGCATCAGCCAGCTCTCCTCACACTCAGAAGTGCTCCCCCAAAAGGTGCTAGATTTATGGCTCCTGATGCCCTCAACCCACCCTCATCATTTAATGACTGGATGAAATTTATCCCCTCAGGTACAGGTATAAGACTCCCTTAGGTTTTATTGAATCAGCCCCAAACTATTAAAGCAACCATGTGTGTGTGGAGGGTGGGGAAGGACTGCAGCTGGATTAACCAGATTCAACTTTAGGGAATGAAAACCTGAGACCTGGATTGCAAATGAACCCAGGACCCAAGGGCCTGGAGCAGTCCAGGGCCCCCGCTGAGCTCAGGTGGGCTGGTGTAAGCATAAGGCAACAGAGTTGATCCTCAGCCCCTCCGGATCCAACACAAGACCCAGACAATCCCCTCCAAGCCCACCTGGTTTGGCTGAGCTGTATTCTGAGCTGGATCCCACAACTCCACCCCCACTCCTGCCAACTCTACTCTCTCCTGCTTTCAACATAAGCTTCAGGACTTCTATTCCTCAGGGTGACAAATGAGCCTGTTTGCTCTCAGTGACATCAAATTACTTTGCACTAGCCGAGGGTTCCATGACCTGACATAACCTCACATTAGATCCTAAAAATGTAAAGAAATATGGCCTTCTTAAAAGTGGCTGAGAGTGCGTAATTGCTAGCAGGCTTGAGGGGTCGTCCCCAACTCAGTTCCAACCTATGCCTCCAAAGCCCATACCAGCCAGGATGCAAGGCTGGGGTTGTGTAGAGATAAAAGTTCAATCTGACATTTAACCCTGGGCCCTAATCAGGTTCTCCAAGTCCAGATTATTTTTGTGTGGTTACAGAAATCACAGAGAGGCTTTCAGCCTAAGTGGCAAGTAAAGCTCACTGGTGGGGCCCCTTCAGGATCCAGCAAAGAGGAGGCTTGGCCAGAGATGGGCTTATGCAGAGCTCTAAAAAGCCTTCCTTGGGCTGCTATGCCTTAATTTTGTTCTAGAAGTTACAGTTTCATTGTTTTCACTCTTTTCCTTCTGTTTTCTCTTTTCCTCTTTGTCTCTTGGCTTGCCTATAGGGTCTCTTTTCCCTTCTCCCTGTTGCTCTGAATATTCTCACTTCCAGTCTCTCCACTCTGACCCTGACCCTGACCCAAGCCTTCACCTCACAGACTCCCTCCTTGCATGCGGAGCTCTGGACACCCATCCCCCAGCAGCTCATGCCCCAGGCTCTGGTAAGGGTGGTTGATCTTGTTAGTGGCCCACAGTCTGCAGTCTGGGATGCCTGAGAGACATTTCCGAGGCTTTTGCTACATACAGTTGGAATTGTTGGAGATGGATATAAAATTTATGCACATAAATTTCTCCTCTTGTTTAATTTACATACCCTTTTATGAGTTTAGCCAAATTGTTCTTTTCTAATGCTGTAAGCAGTTATACATGGTTAGTATAAAATCATTCCAAATATTGAACAATTCCCCGAAAAGGTAATTAAGGAACCATGAACAATCTAACACTCTGCCATGAAAAGGAAGATAGAGGTTAAAACTTACTAACCAGTTGGACTTACCAAATTCAATGACTGGCTTGTTTTAGTTTTTTGGTTTTGCCTTTTTAGCTTCTAAACTTGCCTAGGCTTTAGTTAAATCAACTTTGAATTCATTAAGGAAGATTATGCCCTTGTCAGAACACCAAATCGAAACAAAACAAGAAAATCATGATATCTTTATTAATTATTTGTTAAAGAATCCTATTCTGGAGATATTTTTAAAAATAGAGTTGTATTTTTTTCTTGAAAACTGTGGTCACTCTGGTGAGCTATCAAATACACACTTTTCCCTCCGACTCTAATCATTAGAAATCTCCTCGGAGTTTGCACCAGGGAAGGAGATGTGGTAAAATAGTCATTTGTACACTAAAAAGTGACTATTTGTCAGTTCCGGGCACAAAAAAAGGCCGGGATGGTTTTCTTCTCCCCCACAAATCCTGAGGCATCTAGTGAAAACTTTAATAAAAGGATGATTTGTTCATAGCAAAGAGTAATGTAAATCTCTAAAATACATAATTTTTTCTTAAATAAAGAAGAGTCACATAAAACTTCAGGCAAGATGGAACACACTCTACACCCCTTTTCAGTCCAGATTCCTCCTTACTGGAATCTAGGTTGTTTCTAGAGTGCAGTTGGAACTATGCAAATTCAAGTCCTTTTTTCTCAATTTTGAAATCATATATCCTTAAAATCTTACGTTGAGAATAGAATGATTTGATGTCTGGGATTTAAATTTAAATGTTAGAGGAATGGAAGTGGATGATGAGACGTACTAGGCAAGGCAATAATAGAGGCTGAAGCTAGAAGTTGGGTGCATAGGGGTTTATTGTACTTTCCTGTGCATTCAGGAATCCTAATACTTTTTTACAAAATTGTATTGGACAAATGGGACCTAAGAAAAGGAATGTGATCTGTTGGGTAGCATTGGAGGGACACACTTAATCTTCAGTGTCCAGAAACAGAAAATATCCTTTTTTTGTTTTTGTTTTTTCATTTCCTTGAAATTAGCCCACCACCCCCGATACTTTCGTTCTGCCAAGTCCTCTTTCTAGCACTTAAACCAAGTATCCAAACCCAAAGCTGTGGGCTGATCAGTAGGGCTTCCGTACTCGGCCCCCCTCACCAGAGTGTAAACATCTGTACAAACTCATATCAAACGTTTCTATTGAGCTGCTTCATTTCCCTGAGCATTGGGCCAAGAGGGATTCCAGCCCTGGGACAAAGGGATGGTGGCTGCTATATGGACAGCATCAGATGCTCCAGACCAGCTCAGTGAGGGTCCCCGGAGCCAGCCAGAGGTTCTGGGGTTGACTGCCAACCCGGGCAAATGCTGGTCAGGGGGGCACCTTCCTCTGAGGGCAGGTTACACAGGTACAGAACCCTGAAAAGGGAATGGTCAATAGCCTGAAAACTGGCAATGAGTAGACAGAGGGACCAGCTACCTGGAACAATGTCACCAGGCCAGTCTGACAAGGGAAGATATTTTTCCCCCTCGGGCGGCTCAGTGTGATGTCTACATTTCACCCAGTTGACGTTGGATGTGCACATTCAGTGCGCGTGTGCGCAGGTCTAATGTGTGAATCTGTATAGGGATATCAAAGTTCACACATCGTCAGAATTACAATATATAAAGTGCCCGTAAAAGTCTCATTACACCTCAGTGTGTACTTGAAGGGGTCCTGAATCCCCTTTCCTCGTGGCTGTGCTCTCGAGTTCCCTTTCTTCTGCTGGTTGCTTTGCGCGTTGTTAATCTTTCACAGCCCGAACCAGGGGTGTCGAGGTCTCCGGGATTCTGGGGAGAGTCGGGCTTCCGCGGGCCCAGGCCTCCTGGCTGCCTCACTGGTTGTCTGGGACTGGCGAGAAAGCTGCAGCCGACGGGACCAGTGTACATATAAACCCCCGACTTCCTTCAACCGCTCGGAGGTCTTCGGTGCATTTGTTGACATAAAGAATCCACAGTCCTGCGCTGGCTTCCTGTTTTGTTGCGGGCGTGAGCGTCGAGCTACGGTGGAGGGCGGCCATAGGTTTCTTTTCTTTTCAGGCAGCCAAAGGACCGACAGCGTCTGTGGCGAGAATCCTCAGCCTCTTCACGTTGTTCGCACCGGGTTGCCGGCCGCCCCAGCGCTCCCGATGCTCTGGCCAGCGACGGCGAGCTCACCCCCTGCGCCTTCGGCTCTGCAGTCCAGCAGCGGCGGGAATCCTTCAGCGCCACCCGGCCCGCACTGCGCAAGACGAAGTTCCTCCGGCCGCCGAGCTTCTGTTTCTCCTCCTAGATAACTGGCAATCGGTCCCGTAGGCAGACTGGGTTTCCACATCCGGTGGAGAGCCAAACAGTGACAACTGCCAAAGCAAGGAGCTCTCCCACCACTCCCTAACCGGCTTCAAAGTCGCTCACCTCCCAAAACCAGGTATCAGAGGCCGGCTCTCCCGCACTTCAACCCTGAGGAAATTGGATGGCACCGTACAGCCACTGTGCAAGGGATGCTCTTCATGGTATGGGGACCTGAGACTGGTTGTCCTGAGGGTTCAGGAGCCCTGCCCTTCCTCTTCAGAAACTTTCTGGAGAAAACAGGATAGGGTGTCCCTAGAACTGGGGATCTTTGAGAGGCTATCTACACTAGTGGCTTTGTGGTGAGGGACAGAACCTGGTGGGCAAGAGAGCTGGTCCTCTAAAAACTCGCTGCCTGCAAAATTCTGAAAACTCCACCCTGCAGGCAATGAGAGGATTCTGAATGCAAAAGAGGTTCTGTGGGTCTTCTGGACATTACACTTATTTTCAGGAGTCAGCGAGCACACGACCACGACAGTGTCTTTCTGTGGCCCCAATCTATCCCCACAGCCTCAAGCCTTTCGGTATCATATTATTTCTCCAAATGTGCAAACATCTAACACAGAAGCCTGAATGGATGACAGAATGCACCACGGCCCTGCTTGCTGTCCAGCTTTGCCCAGGTTTCAAGACTGACTCTTTCCCTTTAAGCAAAGAGTACAGGTTCCACCCTGATGGGCATAGGAGTGTGAACCCTCAAAAAGCACCATAAACACAGCAGTCCCCATTTGCCCCTTTCCCAAATGGTCTGGCCCAGTGAAAATTCTGAGGTAGTACCCTACTTGAGAATGTTCTCTCTCTTTCCTTACCAGCTTCAGCCCCCCAACACCTCCCCATTCTTTCTGGGTCTTTCTTTTTTGCCATTTTTTCTGCATCCCCAGTTGATCCTGAGTGGAACAGAGAGGGTTAAGATGTTCTTCAAATGTTGCTCATAAAGCTGCTTGGATACATTAGAAACACATGAATATCCTGAAATATAAAGTATCTGTAAAACCAACCAAAGAATATTTATTCTAAGGTTGGATAGATGCAAAGAAGTAATGCCAGGGAACAGTGCTGATAGTCTCCTCTGAGTTCAAATGATAGCAGGTAAATTTCATTTGCAAATGAAAATCAAACTCAGTTAAAACCTAGTTTCCCTTTGTCCTTTTCTCTCCCAACCCTGGAAGCCCGGGGCCCCATGGCCCAGGCTGGCATCAAGTTCTCCACACAGGAAATCTCAGCCACAGTCTCCTTCCCTGGGAGGTTCTAGGGCAGCCAAAGCCCTATGGGGGCCCTGGCCCACCCCAGAAGGTAAGAAGCCCAGGTGTCTTGTGTGGAGCAGAAGAATCTATGACACCCTTGAACAAAAGGCCAAGCTGCAGTCAGCCCTCTCAGGTTCTGTCTCGCTCTGCCCTCTCAGACAGATTCCAAAAAAACCTGGGGGCACCAGGCAGACTCTGGAGATGACCACAGCGTCTTCCACCTCCACCCACACTTGGCTGTCTTGCTCAAGTGGCCCCTGCTGCCGAAGATCCCAGTGTGTTCCCTGGCTTCCTCGGCCTAACTCACGAAAATTCTGAGGATAAAATCATTAAATTGACAGTGCTTCTTTGTAACCCTATAGGAACCCTTGAGCTTGAGGGACAAAAAAGCAGAGGACAGCTAAGGAGATCAGGCAGTACTAGTTGGGCAAGCAAATCTTAACCTTGCCTTTAGGGAAAGAGGTAGAGTGCTGAGATGATCCTTGCTTGCTTCTAAAAATACAGTCCAGTCTTTATTGCTCGCCGGACCTCTCTTTTCTACAGTAGCCAGTTTGGTGGAGTAAGAATCCATACTGGGAAACATTAATGAACTCTTTATCTCCTTCAGTGAAATATTGAGATTAGTCTTGCTTCAAAGTGAGAAGAAACTCTAGAAACTCAGACCCACAATTATTAACAGAACTCATTCTAATTATATAAACCATTCACATTGATTGACGGCTACAGCACAATATTTAGCAGGACATGCAGGCTCTTAAAAATAGTGAAAGCATGCCAAGACGCCATTGACATACCTGACAGAAAAATCACATCATACATATTATGATCTGAGACAAGAGGAGAACAAGCAGGCTGCCTTCCTCTAAGTAACCAGGTCCTTAGAGGTGTCTTTTTTCATAATATGGAGACATAAATCTCAATAATTTGGGCCCCAAGCCCATTCTTGTTGGGGGCACCACGTGTGAGAAGCAAAGCCGAAAGAATCTGAGATGCAACCCAAAGCCTTTCCCCCCCCCCCTTCCCGGCACTGTCCCTCCCAGACAAACCTGATGTGGCTCCTCAGCGGACAAGTTGAAATCTTGTCTCACCATTTTTGGTGAGGAAGGACCCAGTGGACTTTGGCAGTCTCCGCATGCAAGGCTCCCGGCTCCAGTGAAGTGGAAGGGGAGGGAAGAACGTGGAGCTGGCCCTGGCAGCCCATGTGCACCGGCAGCCTCGCCACAGCCAGAGGTGAGCTGGCACAGGCACCGGTTGGTGGGGGCTTCCCAGGCTGTGTTTTCGTTTTTCCGGGTCTGGCTGGAAAACAGAAGAGGCTCAAAGCCCCTGCCAAGAGCAGGGCGGAGGCAAAGGAGAAGAGTCGGTAAACACCGCCCCAAAAACTTTACAAAGGCAGGGGGAAAACAGTAGGTAGCCAAATAGCTAGAAATTAAAATTTCAAATGAAAAGGGAATTAGGGGTGAGCGGAGATGGGTGGTGGACCTTTCGCAGCCGCAGCACAGCTGCCTTGGTCTTCAGGCTTGCATGGCAGTTCTCTCACGCTGACTACACTGCAACTTTCAACTTGACCTTGGCCTCCAGCCGTGTCTGACCCGTTTGTTAAACTGCCCTCAAGTCCCCAGGAACTGAGGCCTCGAACCCTACCCTGTCTCTTTGTCACTGTGAGTTTTACAATGCCACTTGGAGGGAAGGAGAGGGTGGGGGATGAAATGGCCGGAAAGTCACACAAAAATCAAGTCTTTACAGAGACCAGTTCCTTAGTCTGCAAATGGCTAGTCGGGAAGAAGGTAAGCTGGGGGCAAATCAATATTTACCCAGAACTACTAAAAAGTCAAGAGGGAAAGGGCTCTCTCAGTGTGGAGGAGGTACTGGGGGGCCCCCCGAGAAGGTTTTACTGGGCTACACTTACATTGGTCCGGGAAAACCCTGGAATCTGGGCAGATAAAAGCTTGAGCCTAGTCATTGGTCTCTACCCTGCAGGAAGCCCAAGGGGCTTAAAAAGCCGAACAGTGGGTGGGGGTGTGCAGCATCTAGGGCTGAGGCTGCAGGCTGGGAAGAGGGCAGGTTCAAGTCTGGCTGCTCACCAGGTAGCCTGGATGGAAGGGAGTCCAGGGCTATCGGCTCCAATGTTCCCGAAGGTGCCCACTTTCACTTTGAACGCGTCTTCCCATTCTGGGCATCTGACCAGCTCACAGCCTCACAAAGGTACAATTATTTGGCCCCCAAACGGCAGGACCTTCAGAATCCTTCACCAAATCATGGCAACTGCCAGAAGGGTTGCTGCCCGGCTAGTCCAGTACCTGCACCCAGCGTGCTATTAGAAAAGGGCTGCATTTCCCACACACACACAGGAAAGGCTTCTCCAGCTGGTTCTTGGGCCCTGGGCACCCTCTGCAGGCTGATGCTCCTACCTAAAGGGAAGACACAAAGTGACCTCCCAAAAGAACCCTTTTCTCTTTTCCCAAAATGGAATCCGATAGTGGATTCCCAGATGTCCGGAGAGTCAAGTCCAGCCCAGGCTCTATGGAGATGCTCGCGTGAGGCCCCTGGAGTTCCAGCCAGCACCCAGCTGGGGCCTGTTCCTCTTTATGCCCCTTCCATGAGAAGCCGGCTGACTGGAGAGACAGAAGCATGGGTGAATGGTGTTCTCTCCATCTCAAAGACTCTGGAGAGGAGGAAGAATTGTTACTGGGTCAGATCGGAAAACCAGGCTATGTACAAATCTCTGTGAATGTGACTGCATCAGTGTGCATTCAAGTGTGTATATGCCTTTGTCATCATGGGATGTGTGAGTTCTTTGTCTGTGGGCCTAATGGCAAGTGTGTGAAAACTGTCCACTAACATTGTGGACAGGAAAGGGAAGGGAGCTCCTAAATGCAGCCCAAGCATCTCAGCGGGATGTTCCCGGACCACAGAGCCAGGCAGAACCTCGAAAATCGACAAGTAGCAAACAGCCTGCCTCTGTTCTCCTGGAAGAAGAGTCAAATCCGAGACGCTGTCAAAGTACAATGCGAAGATGTCCGTCCCTGCTCTCCCCGCGGAAAGAGGCTAGCATACCTGGAAAGAAAACAGCCCCCAAAGCCCCAAGAAACACCCAGCCTGATTTAGGCTGGTCCCCTCTTTACCAGTCTCTCACCCCTGGCCACAGGAGGATTTTACCTGACCTGTCCCCACGGCCTCAGGTCGCAACCCAGCGGTGCGCCCACGTACCCTCCCCGTCAAAGTAGACAGGAAAGGAAGGGGAAGCGTAAAGGGGACTTCCCTCCCCCTTCGCCCGCCCGCGGCCCCCGCCTCTCCCGGGGGTGAAGGGTGTACGGCCGCGGGGCGAGCCCTGGAGCTGGGGACCGAGCGCGCGGCGGCTGGGACCGCGGTGGCCCGGCGCGGAGCCCGGGCCGGAGCCGCCCGCTTT